ATGCTTAACCTGAAATTCCTTTTTCAAAGTGTCCAACTTGTAAATATTTCGATTAATAAATAAATTATCGGACTAAGTCAATGAGTCAGTATTTCTGATTATAACAGTAATACGTATAACTATAAGTTTATGCGAATTACAGTTTGTCAGTCATCCGTACAATAATTATAAGGTATCGGGTTTGTCAGGTAATACTTATAAACATTACAGTGCATTTGTAAATTTTGAAGAAGTTTGACTAATGATAATGAGTCAATTTATTTGACTTCACGTATACATATTATTATAAGCTAGCCTTAATAGAAAGTGATTATTTCATCCTTCCAGCTAACTAAGATGTTTTATTTTCCGATTGATACAAAATTTGATTCAATAATCTAAAACTATTTCTTTCGCTACGAGAAGATTTAAATGCTCATACATTAATACAAGAATGATTAATATGATTATCAGTAAATTGGAATTTTTTTTTGTTTTTTCCAGGATCTTTATGATTACTTAAATAATAAACAACGATTTCGATTTATTAATTGTGAATTCCATTTGTTTTCAACGTTCATAACGATAATAAAATGTTGATAAAATCATATTTTAAACCTTTTACATTTTATTTTTTTACACTTTACATTCTTTATTAAGTGATTTTGAATTACAAATTTTATTCCATAAATTTATTAAATTACATACCAATACAATCAGTGTTGGTCAAATTAGTGGTCGACTATAAATTTGCTGGTCATTGGTCAAAAGGTTTCTAGTCAAACTGGTCTGGTCAAATTGGTCAAATGGTCTAGTAAATTAGCAAATCAGACCAATCAAGGAATTTAATTATAGTTAAATTTGGCTAACTGGTCAATTTGTTCTTATAACTAGACCATTTGACCAACTTGATCAATGTCAAAGATGCTTGACCCGGACTGATCATTGGTCAAACTGGTCAGGTCAAATGGTCGAATTGGTCTGATCAGCCCAACACTGAATACAATGTAAATGATTTAAAAACAATTATTTTTAATTAAAAAATTGATCTTAACAAAAAAGCTTTTAGAAAGTAATAATTTTTTTTTTATTCGGTCTTGTAGAAATTCATCGATCTTGATCAGTCTTGCGTAATATAACCTATATTTATACCGGTATAAAAAAAAAAGAATAAATTGTATCATAATTGAAAAAAATAAAGCAAGAACGTTCACAGTAACTGTGGCGTCACGAAATTACTGTGGCCACGAAGAGCTTCCAGTTGCTTAATTTTATGTACCTGTTTACCACCTACAACGACTAATACCTGATTTCTGTTCACCCGACCCTCTTAAAGAGTAATTACCTTAATTAGTCGGTCCTGCGAACGTAAAGCAAAATACCAACCGAAGTAGTAACCCTTAAAACCGTTGGAAGAAGAAATAGACGTTCACAACAAGCTGTTCACCGTAGGTCTCAGTGCATAACTGGTAACTACAAGTTGTGGTCCAATGTGCTTCTATTGCTGTCAACCTCCGGTTAAAGAATCGTAAAAGACACATACAATCAATCAACATTCTACTCAGTTACTGTATCATAAACCAGATGTAATTTTCATTAATAAACCTGCAGAAAAGCAAACTTTAATCGAGCTCTTCCTTCCACTTGTTCCGCAAACGTGTTGCAGTATTAATCAATAAAAACAACCTAGACATCTATGATACATTACCTTGTATGTATCCGCATAATAGTTTTTAGAATAAAATTTATCTATTAAAATAAAAGGTTCTGTTAAAGGGCTGAAGATAAAAAGTGTAAAAAGATGAAAAGATGTATCGGTATTTGCTGTATTGTTTTGATTCTAACATTCATTATGCCATAATGACGTAATTACATCAGATCTCTATGGTCGATGTAAAATGAAATGACCCGTGAAAGATTCACCAATCAGATCTCTTCTAATAAGCGACGCCAATAAGAGGTTTTATGATTTTAAAAATATCGTGCATTTCCCACGGCCCTACTGAATTACACAAATATTATGGTTCATATATTATTCACGTGTTCAATCTTTCTTCTAATTTTTACTGTGTATTTCCTCATTCGGACAATATCTGAGGAAGGATGCGTAATACAATACGTACGAAAAAACATAGTGTGCCATAATACCACCAATCTGAAAAAAAACATAGTACTTTTTAACAGATTTTAAAATTTTAAATTTCAAAGTTTTTTGTTATCATCCGATAATAAATCGAATGTTATTTTATTTTCGCTAAATTTTGTAAATAAATACGCTATTCTTAAGAATTTTTATATGTGCAACTCTTAAGTGCGCCATAATACCTGACTCTCCCTTACGTAATATCTTATTTATTATAATTATCATAATTTGTTATTCATGTGATTTAAATTAAGCCGATTGAACCTACACATTTAAACAGTTAAAAATATTATTATTCTCATTAGCAATTATAATTGTATAATTAAATAATAACATTAAAATCTCTCTTACTTAAATTTTTAGAGAAACAAAGATTTAGCCAACCACTATGCGTACATTTCCGAGTACCAAATTTGTTGATCGATTAGAGTGATGTGAATTACAATAAATGCACATAATTAGTGATTAATTATGATCTTATCTAATATTAGACTATTACGTGAGTCATGAATCAAATAGTATAATTAAAATTTTTTTTCAGAATAACGCCAAAGTTTCTATTAAAATCCATCCAAAGTAAGACTTATCTAATATGCTTAAGGAAGAAAAGTGCATAGTTACTATGTAATCTGTAAAAGATATCAAACAACTAAATTAACATACCATTATTTTACAATGATTATAATTAATGAAAAGAATAATGAATTTTTCATAATTCAAACGCATGAAATAAATGCAGCATACAGTGATATCAATAATAATGTATATAATAGCCATGTCTAAGCAAAATGCTGGTGCCATTTTATTAAGCACATATTTACAAGGTTCCAGACCATATGCGGTTTAGGAAATGTAACAATTGCATCAACTTGATGTGCGCGGCCGTGCCGCAAAATACCAAGCTTAGGTATAATATCCCATTCCATCATATATGTTCCATTCACACCTCTGACAACAATATAACAAAGAATTAATTTATTATCGCGACAAACATAAAAAGGATATATCAAATAGTTAGATACCTGAAACTTGGAGTAATGTCATTGAAAGTATTCATCTTTTGATGTAATTGTAGAACAGCAGAGGTACGATTTCGTATTATGAATGACCACAATACAATCTGATTACGGATCTATTTATTTCGCAAAAAAAAAAAAAAAAACATGAATAATCAATATCCAAGATGACAATAATATACAAAGTATAATCATTAGCCATACATGAGTAGGTGTCTCGTATTCCACTATTAAATATACAAAGATTGAATGCGTATTAAAAGCGAAAAGTGGCGTAAAATCTGATTAATTGTAAAATAAAGTTAATAATTATTCAATTATTTTCAGCTCATATAAAATCTAAGCAATTTTACCGGCGTCAACATTCATTTCCACTAATGCAGACTCGTAAACTTCTCTGTTTTCATTAAAATCTTCCGGTATAATTTTGAGAACCTTGAGGTCAACGCGTGGTGAAATAGGTGATGGAATTGGAATGATAAAATTGGCAAATAGCATTATAAAAAACATGGTTGCCGCGTAAACTACAATAATCCATTTAATAAACTTTATAACACGACCAGCGTAGATGTAAAATTTGCACATTTTGTGCCATTGACCTTTAATCAAAGTACGGATTTAAAAACACCGAAAAATTAAGGTGTTGTTTAAATATTATCTCAAATATAGTAATTTGGGTTCACAGATAGAAGTTGTATGATTGGTTAAACTTCGTAGATCTGCACATGAAAATTAACCATAATTTTTTTGTAATTATCCGGAAGACATTTAATATTTAGTCAAAGTAAGACAAATAGTTAACTTATTTAGTCGTACCAAAAAAGCGTGTAAATTAGTGTTACGAAAAGTACTTTTTTTTCATAATCATTACCGTTGTGTACTTTAGCAGGTTATAGGTTTTAGCTTTATTTTTTGTTCTTGTTTTCTAAAGGGAATTTGGTTTAATTATTTTTATGTATAAATCACTAATCACTAATTTCGCGCTGGATATAAATCATACGATTAATTCGCGCGAAACGCATACGTTACATACAATGCAAGATAGCATAACCTGATAATTAATAGTTAATATATTCAATATATACGTACGTATTTGCAAAATATAAGTTAACCAATAAAATCACATATAAAAATAATGCACTTTATTAGTACGTATTCAAAACATTATAATGACACAGTTCTACGTAATGTTACTTCTTTAATAACTATATATAGTAGCAGTTCAATGTGTGCCAGGTTAATGACACCGATCAGTAACTTCGATCAAATTAGCTACGCTTAAATCGTACATACGTACGTACAGATAACACAATAAATTAATTAATATATTATTATAATAATAAATGTAAAGTTCTTTTTTAACCAATTTATTTCTTTTTCGCTTACAAATTTAACCGTTCTTGAACAGTAAAGAGAAACTGGTGAAATTGTTTTTTTAAAAAATTTTAAAAAATTTTATATTTATAAAAAGTGGAAAAAATTTGCTAGAATCTTTAAGTAAATAAATTTTTTTAAATAGTTATTTTTTAAGTGAACATATTTTTTTTTTAAATGAAGTTTTTTTTTTGATATATTTATATTTTTTACTTAAACATTTATTTTAGATACAGTTATTTTATTATATAATCATCTTTTATATAATCACAAACTATATATAAACTCATATAATTTTATATTACCAATTATTTTAGGGAATTGCTATTGCCACCCTCTATTTTTGCTAATGCCACCCTCTTGCTTAATCTAATTGGTCTTCAACATTTCTAATTCTAATTCTTAATTAGAATTAAACTATATAAAGGATGGCATTAGCAAAAATAGAAGGTGGCAATAGCAATACTTTTATTTTATTATTAAAAATTCTTTTTTATAATCACAAATAGTTTATATATAATTACTATTGCATTTTTTAGAATTAGTTGAAATAATTTTGATAATAAACTTACCTTTTTATAATATATAATTTTAAATAGTTTTTATATAATAAAGTCAAATATTTATTAATTAAATTAATTTTTATGCATTAAGTAAAGTTATTTAAAATAATAAAATATATATAATATAAAGTTTTTATACAAATTAATTAATCTTTTATTAGTATGTTTTTTTATTTATATATATGCAAATAAAATTAAAAATTTTAATTTTTTTTATAAAAATATAAAATAGAAAAATATATTAATAAAAATTTTGTTAATGATAATTTCAGAATAAGTGTATTTTAACTTTCTGATCAATTTTATTTATTGCATAAAAGAATTTATTTAGTAAATATATATTTGTTTTTATATATAATAATAATTAGCAATTATATATATAAACTTTTTAAAAAATTTTTATTTTATTTTATTTTATTTTATTTTTATTTTTTTAATATTAAGATATATATATGTAATTTAAAATTTTATTGATAATATGTTTCAGCTAATTGCTATTTGTATAATAATTGCAATTGCAACTATAAAAAGAATATATAAGTAGTTATTTGTATAACTTTAGTTATTATCTAATTTAAGTAGTCTATTTGAAGGTTTTATACTAGTTGTCATATCTAGAACCTTATCTGTAAATCTTTTATTTAAACATTTTAAATTTTATATTACCTTTACTTTACTAATAACTCTGATAAACTAATAAAAATATATCATAATTACTAAGTTATATATATTTAACTTTATACTAAACTTACTAAAGCTTTCTGTATTTATACTTACAACTAATCTAGTATCATTTTAGTCTAAATTAGTATATATTTACAGTTTGGATTAACTATTAAACTACTATATCTTTGTAAAGTTTATTTAAACTTTGATACTTATCTTTTTAATATTTTCTTTATTGTCTTTATATATAATAGATAAATTTAAACAAATTTTAAACCTTTAAAAAATAATTGCTAATTATAAAAAATTAAATTAAATAATTTTAAAATTTTATAAATATATTATCTATAGTTATAAAAATTTTTTTTTTTTAATATTAAGATGACTTTTTTAGTTTTTTGATTTTTATTAACCAGTTTTTTAATAATATAATTTTATAAACTATTACAAAAAAAGAATATACAATTAGTTATATATATAACTTTTCTATATTATCTATTTAAGAAGTCTATTTGAAGGCTCTTTACTAATTACTGTATCTAATACTTTTGCTTAAATATTTTATTTTAAATTCTCTGAATCTGCAATCTGTATTAATATTATTTTATTATATTTAGATTATTGTTTTAGAACTATTTTATTCTTAAGATAAACTTTTCAAAACTTTTTATACTTATTTTTACAGTTAACTTAGCATTACTATAACAAAACCAATATTTGTAATTAAAACTAACTATTAAACTACTATACTTTTACAAAGTTTACTTGAACCTTAATACTACTTTACAGCATATTTAATTTATTTTAGTAGTATATCTTGCATTGTTATTAAACTTTTAATTTAGATAGTCTAATAGAACTATAACTAATCTATTAGTATATCAAATTAGTCTAATATCTTTTTTCTCTAATTTATTCTAGCAGCCTAGTTGGTAGTACTTCTTACTCAAAAGTTTTTGCTTATCTAGTTTTTATATTAATATTTGTTTTTTAAGACTAGTCTTTATAGTAATATTATTAATAATTTATATTACCTTTTTGCTTAGGTCTTTTTAAATAGAATTCTTGTTTCTTAGTTTTAACAAATTTACATAGTTACAAAAACTTATCTAAAGTTTGCACTATTTGATATTAGTTTGTATTTCTCTGTATAACTAGTTACACAAATATTCTATAACCTGCCAATTATGCTGATATAATTATCATTACAGATATCTTAACCTAATTATTAAAAACAGTTGTCATAATACAAGTATTATATAAGTAATTATCTAAATTTTTATTGTTAATGAGTTTTAAACATTTAAAAAATTAACAAAAACTTAGAAATAGTACTATAAGTTCCTTATAATAATATAGCTTTCTTTAAAAATACCAAACGCAACACTGCTAGTTTTAATACTATTGGAAAGGCAGAAGCTACAAATAGCTAACTTCAGTTTCAGTATTAGCACAAAGGTGGCAATTCTAGAAAAAAAGACTAAACAAATTTTGTTTACCAACTCTGACACATAATCTAGTCAACTAAACCTGTTCCTCTTAAAGCATCCAAAGGCCATAGATTCTATTTATCCAGTGTGTTTCCTTTGTTTTATTCCAATATAAAATTTAATTTTGCTGAAACCAATTACTTGGAAACTCAGAGTCGATTTTAAAAATTTTTCTTGACAAAAGTGGGGCATTATGTTACTCTGGAAAAATTGCTAAGCATACATGATCAACCAAAAATTGTAAACATCAAACAAACATAGCAGTCATGTTCCTGATTTAGAAATTTACAACAATTAGCAAAAGAAACAACAAACATCAAGTCACGTACAAAACTAAATTAGAAAGTAGATAGTCAAACAACAAAAATACAAAAATGAATTGAGCAAATAAAGTAAACGAATGGAGATAATCAATAAACAAAACCTAATTCAGCAGGTGCAAGGAACAGGTAACAAACTGTGTAGATACTTGAACTGCAACGAATTAAACCGAATTTTGAAAACATCTATGAATAAAGAACCAAGTGATTTAGAAACCATAGCAAAAAACTTGGCTCTTGGTGATCCTCAAAAAATTACAACTAAAGATCTTCTACTATATAGTCA